GCCAGCTGCGATTTCTTCTCCTATGTATTTCAGAGCATATCATACCGCTTTGGTGCATTGCTGTTAGTGAAGGATCGGTTATAGTCGGAAATTGGTACCAGTCTTGTACGGGAAGATAGCAGCACTGGCTCGATACATCGGTAGGCCACCGCGACTCTTTGTATAGGCCAGATATGCGTTCGCTCACCTCCAGCGATGCTCAATGAAGTCGAATGCATGGGGCATGGCATTGATCTACACCGAGAGCTTTATCTTTTATTTAATGCTTTCTATTGCAGGCAACGATGTTCACTTCGAGAAACGACATGCTGGTTTAAAATTGAAAGCGGCAGTTATCATCGTTCCTGGTCCTGGTGGTGGAAACCAAATAATATCGGACCTTAACTGTTGAACATAGGCGCTACGGCAATGAAGAAGAATACTTGAGGAAAGAGCTTACGATTCGAACGCACATAGTCTTGTTCTCATTGTGCGTTGGCGAATACGTGAGGGAAGAAGGAACGTCAACACTGAATTCCCTATCTTCATGAGTCGAAGTATCCTGAGGCACTGCAACGATGTTAATAAACACTTGATACTTTAAAAAAAACATCAGAATCAAACATTAATGACGAGGAATCGAAAAATTTGAAAAGAGGAAAACATCGATAAAACAGAAGTAAGGAGCATCTAAGGAATACAAATGTGGGGAAGAGTAGGAACTCTACAGTGTACTGCTTTTGGAGTCTCGCAGAAACAAATGTACAGGCTAGTTGAACACATTTGGTAATAGAGTTGTCGAAAATTACAGGTGAAGAGTTGATTTGGTTTTACTATTTTTAGGAGTAAAGCACTGAAATTTGTTTCTGATCTATTTCATTGATAAACTTATTCAAGTATGGACAAAACCGCTAAGTTTTCATTTTCGAGCTTCTTTTGCTGACGTCAAAGTAGGTTTTGCTTCTAAGAACACAATGAAATGTCCTCAAAATCTGAAACGAACAAATATTTTTGAAAGAAAACCCACTTTGAGCAGCAATACTCTCCCTCCATTTCTGAAGTTCGGCTATATTCTTTTTGTACTCCTCCACCTCAGCGGCGATAATGTTTTGGTATGTCTGCAAAATTTCAAGTACAGAAAGAAAAAACTAACTGAATAGCATTGTAGAGGAAAACTTACCTCATAGTCTACATGAACGCCTTCTACCCATTCCTTATTAACTTTTGCCGACATTTCATCCAAATATGTGTAAACCTTCGGTTCCGTCTCCTCAAAACGGATTGATGTAACCTAGAAATATTTATAGCTGCACAGACTCCCGTAATAATACGTACCAAAGATGCCACTTTTTAGAGTGGTCACCATTTCGTGAGTTCTTTCCAGAAAATACTAACACACTTCCTTTTCGAAAAATTGCAAATCCACATATTTGGCTGGAAAAATATTTGCTGCAGTTTCAAATCTAAGCAATTTGACATTATTTGCAACTGGTAACAGCAGCACTGTCAACCAATGCCCATTCATGTCAGCTAGGTCGAGAGGATATCGTTCCACACAGTCTGAATACTGTGAGGTTCGAACCTTCTTCTCGGTTGTTCATGAAGCTCACAACCGTTTGAGAATGTTTGGGAATCAAGAAATCTCCAAGAGATGACTCAATATTTTTGCGGATATTCTTGATCCTATGTACTACCACATATCACTGGTACGTAAGATTTCAAACAGTTGCCAATTTCTTTGTTTTACACTATTCAACGTTGTTGTTAACTGCAGGTTTCATAAATACGGTTATAGAACTCAAAAGACCGACTTTGTATAAACCTCGGCATAGATAGTTGACGTACTTATTTATACGATCTTATAAACTGATCTTGTTTAAATGCGGGGTTGGTATAGGTCTTCGTTGTCTTTGTCGTTGTTGCTGGTCTTTGGGATGTCCCATGTCCCACTCGTAACATCGCAGCTCTAAGGAAGGCAAAATCGCCGAAAAGTCAGCCATCGACCAACAACATCAATAACAACGACAATGACAACGAAGACCTATACCAACCTCGCATCAGCTAAAAAAGATCAGTTTATAAGATCATATAAATGATTATACAACTCACCTGCCGAGCCTTCCTACGCTCTCTTCTCGTTCCAGGAGAATGCAAGATTGATGATGTAGGCGGAACTTGGTCGTGCAAATCCTCGAATTCATAGGTCAACTGAACAAAATTACAAGCTTTAAAAGCAAAGAGGTAAAAAAAATAAAACAATCTTGCTGGTATGCACGGGTTTCGTTTGCATTAGAAGCTTTCTAAGGAAATGAAGGCAGAATTGGCCCATATAGCGTAGATCTCAGTTGGACAAGTCAGTGATTTTTTCTTCACGAACGAGTCTACCACTTAATCATGATCTGAAGTATTGGCGGGCGTTTGAGAGCCTAGAAGCTTATACTGTATGTGCTTTAGAGAGCAGTATAATAGTGCCTATTCCAAACGAATCAGTTGTTGTCGAAGCACTTTGGAATACTCCATAACCATCTCTTTCAAAATATGGACACTTTCATACGTTTTCGTTCACAGCTTCCATGAAATCAGGTATATCCTCTTCCATGACAAGACTTAGCAAACTGCGACTAATAGGATTACCATCACCAGCGATGATCTAAATTAAATCTTTATTAGAAGCAAAAAAATTACGATAAATGTAGGAACCTACATGCTTTTCGAGATCCAAAAGATCGAATTCATTCGTGTGAGTATTCTCACCTTCCTTGTTATTGGACGAAATCAATTCTGTACTCTAGAACATTTAGAAAGAGTATGAACTTTATAAAGAAAGTGTGAAAGTATAAAAAACGTAGATGACGAAAAAGTATCTGAGCTCCAAAATAATTAAGTAACTAAATGGGGATTACCTCAGGAGAGAAAGGCTTCGTTGATTCAGGGCAAAGATCAACATTAGGATTTGGTAGCGTAGAAGTACTTGACACTATCGCCTCCTGCTTTCCATAAACCACGGTTGACGCCTGAATGATTTCACCTAGAATCAACATAGCAGCAATGTAAAACAAATGTAAAAAAAGTTAGCAACTTGTGGATAAATACTGTAACCGGGTTCAAAATTCATGTCGAGAGTGATTAGCAGATGATCCATCCTCTCAACATTTTACTTCAAAATTCACGAATATTGAAACTAGCAAAGTGTGGCGATGCAAACAGCTCTGTATTAAATTTAATATTAATATTTAACGCCCCAGGTTAAAAATTCAAGATCCGCTATGGATCTTCTTTGAAACAAGTAAAATAGGCAAGACATGAATATTCTATTTCGGGTTTTTTAGTACTTAGTACTAAACTATAACGTACGTAAAAGTAAGCACTCGTCCTCTCTAGGTTCCACATCACGTTTTCTCCGGATTTTACGAGCAAAACAGAAAAGAGAGAGGAAAGTAGTTGTAACCAAAAAAATTACATTTCAATCTCATGAATAACCTACGAGCTAATATAATATACGTGTTCTAGAACAGTAACTGCATCATCATATTGCGTTTCCCTACAAACCTTGAGCTTTTCTTCGATGTATTGGGCGGAAAGGCTCTTTCTTGGCTCTTCTGAACGGGAACACGTCAAAGACGGTGTGCCACCACATTCATCGTTGTTTTCGTCGTCGTCTGTAATCGCATAAGTATTCTTGTCACGGAAATAAATCAAAACTAGTCCCTAATGATTCTATAGAAGATGAAAAAATCGCTTTATTTTGAGTCCTCTCAGCTTTTATAAGCCAGTACCACTATAACGTCGCAGTCGCAGTTAAAATTTTTTGACAAGACTACCGCCAGAGTCTATGGATTTAAATTGTTTAATGAGACCTCCTTTCAATCCAAGAAACTTACTTGCTTTGAAAACCAAATGCACTGCAATTACTATACAAATAACTGCAACTAACTAGAAGAAATTTCACGGTGGTTAAAAAATTAGTATGCAAATCCGTACTTAGCCATCCTCATCGCGTTTAGAATTCATTGAAAAATTAAGCGAAAAACTTTTAAGAGAATGTAAATATCAGGGTTGATTTGTAAGGAAAGGCTTCATTATCTGTTCTCTCGAATGAATCTCGCGTAATTTCCTCATGTAAGCTACAAACGTTCAGCTTACAGGATCTGAGAACCGACGAAACCCACTGAAACCGAAAACGAGACGGTGTCGCAGTAGTGTCTTGGGAATAACATAGGGACATTACCAGTCTGAATCGATCAACAATAGACTTCAAACATACGATTGAGCTCTATATCGACGTAGAAGAATAGAACAATAGCCATATGTGTGGAATTCAACACTCAATATCTGATGCTTACTCAACCTAGATGAACTAGACCAGATTCTTCCGACTAAAATTGTCGCATATGCACCATAAAAATGCTATTTAAGCTCCTATATTTAGAGACACAGCAAGAAACTTTGGAAGGAAAGTGAATAGAGTTGAATGTAACCTCTATAATGCTGAGATATTTGCAAAACTCCGCACCGCAGGTGTCTGCGGTGGGGAACGGACGCGTCATTGTCCTTTCCGGGGTGTAACGCGTTCACCACCACACCATGCAGGACCTTTGTTTTGCCTGTCTCTCAGCTAGTTCTATCGATATTTTGCCATCAGCGTTCAACTGTTAACGGGATTGACCTGGGGAGCCCAAATCGGCATTGATCCTAGTTAAGCTGAGTTATAGAGACGAAAAAATGAGAGGCAGGCGAAACGAAGGACCTGCATGGTGCGGTGGTGAACGCGTTACTCGCCGGAAAGGGCAATAACGCGTTCGTTCCCCACCGCAGACACCTGTGGTCCGGAGTTTTGCAAATATCTCAGCATTATAGAAGTTATATTTCGCAACATAACCTGCTGTTAAAAAGAATAAGCAGTGAATAAAAAGGTTAAGAGTTGAATATGTTGAAAATTATGAGGGTTTGTGAAAATTAAATGAAGAGACCAAAAGTGACTGGCGAATTCGGCACTGGGAAAGAACTGCGTCGATATCGAAGCGGGTAATGAGGATGCTTTCGGTTAAGGTCAGTCCATTTAATAAATATTTGTGTAGAAGAAGACAAAGTAGAATAAAACATATGTCACGAAGTTCTAAAAAAGTCGTTTTCTACGTCTAATAGGAAAAATATTACCAGATACCGGCACTTGAATCGAGCGATTTTGAGTTGATCGACAAGACGAGGTCTATGAAATACTGCTAATCAATTATGTGATCATAACTGCAGAACTTTCTGATCCCCTCTTTCTTCCTTTGTACTGAAGGTCGAAATGAAGCGACAGTCAAAGTGTTAGCACAGTTATAATGCAACATAAATAAACAAACAAAAACACATATGAACAAACACACAGATAGATGCACCGATACCTACATACATGCATACACACACACAATATCTACTAATATAGGTATATACATATGAACTTCCTCTAGTGTATTTGCTAGCACAGGTGAACGTATATGCACGCGAAAATATACCATTTTGCTTTGATGGATAGATCTATGACATTGCTCCCAGCCCAATGTAAATCATTCGAGGACAATAGTTAGGAACAGCAACAAGATTCAATGAAAGGTTATGAAACGAAACTATGACAATACAAAGCACCTGTCTGCTCTTTCATGTCTCACAATTGTGCTAGCGATAGTACTAGGTCGATAGAGATAGTCATAGAGTAGCTGTACTTTCAACACCGATTAAGGCAGCAGGTAGGAATAATGTTCAAAAATAATCTGATATGATTTACTGCGATTTGTTCTTTACCTACCGTCTTAGAAATAAACGTATCAATTTGATAATGGGTAAGTGATATGAAAGGGAAAAACCTTAGTCGTGAAAATCCATTTTCTCTCTCCAGAAATTGACATGTACATTTGTCAAATCTACAGTGGAAGAGGTTAGTCTAGAAGAGGATCAAGTTCTCTAATAATGAATCATAACGAAGTAAGGAAAGAGTTCTTTATACAACCACCTCAAATTTCATAATCCGGGACAATGACTAAACTTAGTATCGGTATAAACCTGGGAAAGAGATTGCAGACAATTCAACAGAGTCCGTTCAAAACTGAAATCCCTATGCCTTTGGACGGTCAAATAAGTCACAAATACGCAACAAAACTTGCTTTGACATTTAATGTCAAGCTTATGTCTTAACGCACACAACTCGCAAGCTTTTATATAAACTTATGACTGCAAAAATATCTCATAAATGATTTACAAAAAGTCGCTAGACGAGCTTCGACAATCATATTATCAGACGGACAGCTTGTCATATGCCGAAGGGACGGCCGAATCGATGCTATAATGGTTTCCACATCCCGACCACCAGGCTAATTAAGGATGGAGATGGGTGGCACATAATTGAGCGAGTGATCAATGGGATGAACACGGTAGTGAATTGTGATCAATTTCAGAACACAGACGTTGATTAGTTCAGAAAACGAGCTTAAGCACAAGAAACAGACAACAGGTACATCTTAGTAACTGAATACGAACAGTCAACAGTTTGAAACAGTCAACGAAAGCTAAGACATTTACATTGTTTTCAACGAACAAGTTGAGCGTTAACGATTAAAATAGAAAAAAATCCATCTTGGTAGTAAGAGAATTCCTGGAAGAAATTTAGTAGATGAATACATAGTGATATGCAGTGTAAACAGTGATACAGTGTATACACCGTATATCATTTCTGTATACAGTGAAATCAGAGACATTCCATTATAAAACTACCACTTACGAGAGGAAAGTGCACTTCACTGGGATGGGGTGAAAGCAAGTGACGTGATCGTTCACTAGATTACTAACGACATTGAGCTCATTTAACGACACTGATAACAAAGACGTCAACAACTAGTTTGCCGAACGAGTTAAAATGAATGGTGTTAGAACGACGAAACTAGGACAAACAATTGAAAATGAAGAGAAGAGAAAAATGATATAAAGAAAGAGGATGCATTGCTGCTGTGTAGCGTGTGTTTATTATAAACATTCTGAACACGCTACCACTTATCTAAGTTCTCGAAAAAAAGTTGAGGCAATTTACTAATAGATAGATTAGGTCTACATGGAGTAATTCTTCAGTACTTTTTAGCGCTGCAAATATGAAGACGACTTCGCAGCTAACATTTTTCTAAATGCTGCATTATTCTAGTATAGTAACGAGAATCGAATTAACAATAACAAATCATTTCACGAAGACTGCAGAGAAAAACCTTCCTGTACAAAGTGGGTTAAAAAGAGCTGTTACACTCCCTTCTGCAATATTTGTGAATAACACCGGAACTTCCTCCCACCTGTTTACCGCCACATCGTGGTTGGGAGGTGTTCAGGGAGTCGGACTGCGATGTACAGCGATGGAATTCTTGCCTCCGGCAGGATCACCCAAACAGAGAAGGAGTCCGGTGCTTTCATCAGGAAGCTCGGCTAAGAGTAAGCCAGTACCAGGATCCACCACCGTCCTGGTATGAAACTAGTCGCATGGTGGCAATTCTCCCTTTGATCCACAAAGGTCGGCGACTACCTGTGGTGGTGAAGACCTGAGGCAGACTTTGGCCAGGCTGACCTCGGGACTCCGAGGAACCACAATGGTTAAACAAGGAAAGCGAAATTATGCTGGAGCTCGCACAACCAGGGAAGACGAGCCATCTAAGTATCTAAGTGAGTAATACAGGAACTTTAGGTACATGTAATAAAATTACCACGTGTACCAGTGAGTAGTGGACCATATTATCGCAACTAAATAGCTGAAATCATTGCAGCCAAGGTACGCAGACGTTAACCGCGAATCATTAGTAGAGTCTTGAACCGAACATCTTCATAAAGTCGCCAGATTCTTCACGAAAGTCAGAAACACCGTCAATAAGAATTTATTTGGTTACGGACGATCGCATTAAAATTCTCTGCAAACGATCACCTTATCAAAATTGAAACAAAGCAAAAGAAGAGAAAAGCTAGTTTTTATTAGCAGCTGCGAAAGCCTAATCAACCAATGTCGATAATACTAGGAAAAAATAATTATTTTGCAATGTGTAATTATTTGCATATTGGTATATATGTTTATATTTGTGGTTTAGTCAGATTCTTCTATACATATGCCATGCATGAGCTCCTGTATATCTCCATCAAAGTTTTTGTTAATAATAAACTAGTACTATCGAATAGCATTTCAAAAAGCAATACTTAAGTATTGGGCCCGATAATGGTTTCCGTTAATTGCTGGTAATTTTCCGATAGTAGAAATATGCGAGCGGCCTCGAACTAAGAAAATTATGGAAGTGGGCTGGATCTATAGTTCTAAAGGTACGCATATTTCTTCGTTTTAATAACATCGTGTTTAGTGCAGTCAGAGATTAGAAGTGTCCTACAATACAAACAGAATGGGTTATTGCTTCGATCCAGTGTACCGGACTCACAAAGCCCACCATTCCAACGTGGTCGGCAATTTGGCATCAAACTTGTCTGAGAGGGTAAAATACCGACCAGATAAATTGGTAGACCACAAAGAATTATATAGACTAAATATGCTTTCGATTAACTCGAACGTAGTACAAATAGAGTCGAATCCGCGGCGTCTCCCTCAAGGATTGATGAACGCGGAAAGCGTTATCTCCACTATCTGCTACTTTTACTTCTTCAATTTTAAATTTGCTTAATTGGCAATCCTCAGAAGAATGAAAAAAAACTTAGATTTTTGTAAATGTCACCTGGCTTAAAAGTATTCAAGAAAGCATTCCTAGTGGTCCGCAGTGAGGTTAAGAAAATGCAACCACTTGAGATTTCTATAAAACTATTCATGGGAAGACATTATAGTGGACGTTTATGAAAAAAGGAAGCAATGATGTATTTAAAGGCGTTAAGTTTCCTGCATAGAATGGAAATAGAAATAAAGAAAATTAGAGGAAAACGTAGTAATTTCGCGAATTCCTGAGCCGTAATTTGGGATCGTGGATGCAATTCAATGCAAACGTAGATGGCAGTGAACGACGCCAATGGTGAGGAGTTGCTAGACATACGGAGGTCGACAATGATTCACATTATCCACAGTCGAAATCGAGTTGATCACATGAAATATACACAGACCGTAATAAGTAGTCATATTGAAAAGTAATTAAACTAGTACACATAGTAGTACTAAGTTGTATCTTTGAAAATACAACCGATGCGTGATCTATGCAACGTCGGCACCTCTTTTCTAGGTAATCGCGCGGATACATAAAATGGTGAAGGTTTATGATAAGACGCTGAATGACCTTTGATTTAAAGCGAGCAGCACTACACAGAAACAACAAGGTTACCATTGCTCTGCGAGCTGGATAAAATGCTAACCATTCGAATAACAGATGTTTATTGCGGGCCGGCTTTCATCTAACCTCTGTATAAATAATCAATGTGCCTCGTTTCATTGATAAGCCAACAAGACGTTGTTACCAATATTCATCCGGCTAACGTTTCGACGTCTTCGTCTTCCTCACAACCGGTGATCCGAGTCCATGCCCACAACCTTCGCCTTCTCGATGTGGTGCCTTCGTCGTCGTATCGAGTCGGATCTTGTTCGCTGGAGCTCTGCTTTAAAGATGAACCCTCTGAAAGTGCTCCAGTGAAGAAGCTCGGACTCGACACGACAACGAATACATCACATCAAAAAGGCGAAAGACTGTAGGCATCGACTGGAATTACAGGCTCTGGGGAAGACGAAGGCATCGAAACGTTAGCCGAACAAATATTGGTGACAACCTCGTGTTGGCTTATCAATGAAACAAAGAACGGGCGGTTAGTTCAAAAGCAACTAACGTCACAGCAGTGTTAACGTCTTCACGTTTTCATTTGCATACACGTAATGCAATATGTAAACGGAAATTTGAATATTATTGGCATCGTTTGTGAATATGGCCGAAAAAAATAAAGTGAGGACGCAATGTTTTTCGGATAATGGATAGATTAGCTCGGATTGGCTTAGTCACTAGGACTCTATCTCGAAAAGTGATCAGGGCTGTCGCGAACGGGATACACAGTGAGGAAAAACCCCAATACGAAGCAGACCTGCTAACTTAAACGCTTCCTTTTAAACATATTCACTTTGTTCTGACAGAATACCCATCCAAAGTTGTTCCCTCAGAGAAAAGGTGGTCTAAAAGATTTCTCTATCAGTTCTGAACTCGAATTTACATTAGAACTAGGTAGAAAAACTGAGTTTTGACACCAGTGGTTAAGGTAAACATTCAAGCAAACTGTACATCAGATAATAAACTTGATAAGCGTTCATGCTGAGCTCTCAGCACGGAGATATTACAAAACATACATCCGCTACTTCATCCTCTACATTAGGATATTACGATTCACAGCAGAAGATCAAAAAAATAGAACACATCTACGAAAAATATATAGCTGAAAACAGTCCTATCAACAAAGCAGAATCTCTCCATAGAGATATGAAAAACGTAGTTCCTTGAAGATCGGTGTGTTTCATGAAAATCTATGGATTTAGTAAGACAGCTGAGCCAAGAAGTACTGGCTGTCGAATAGTGGTGGCAGGACTAAATGGCTGTGATTAAATGTAGTAGATGCTTGAGACAAGCTCACTAGTTGAACAGAATGAGGTTTTAATTCTCAGCCTCACCTTCTCGTAAGCTTTCTCTCCTTTTCTCTATTCTACTTTCCCTCTTTCTTTGCAGAGAATGGGGATTCTGACCTCCAATTGGTAGAAACTTTGAAATTTATACTAAAAGTGCAGTTACTGCATATTTACTGCCATACTCACGTAACTCTGACGTGGAAACTGTCGAAACCGGCCCATTTAAGACCGTAGGTATAAATAGGAAAACATTTTTCATCCTTAGGAAACCAGTTTCGAAATCCCGCAAACCTGTGGCTGCCATCCAAAACGCAGGTGATGAAGAAAATCTGTGAAAAGTTGCCGGCTTGACTTTGATCAAGATGTAAATGTTGCTCTATCAAAATAGTACATTCACAAGAAACCACAGCAACGCCCTCATACTGTTCACCAATGATATTGGAACAACACCTTCACAAATTAGTCGCTTCATTCCTGTCAAAGATGTATGACATGAGCCGCCACATGCCAACGCAATGATGAAGCAGTTATCTGCCTGGAGAATGTATCTGCAAAACATTGGTGTTCGTTTTGCTGCGCATCAATCTATCAACTGATGTCGATCGTGTTCCTTGCCATAATTCATTCACAATGTCCCCTTGGAAAGGAACGGCATAACTGAACGCTCCTGACCAGCCTATGTAGCCGTAGCTAGTGAGCCCAATCTGCCACGTAGATGGAAGAAAATTCTCCGTTACGGACAGTTTACAAAATTTATGACAATGCCCTAAACAACGTAGTATGAAAGGAGAGAGCAAAGAAAAATTTTTAAAAATATTAAAAACATAGTGTATTTACAATTTTAACTTATTATTTACTGCCTATTCTTTTTAACGGCAGGGTATACATTGTGAAATATAACTTCAATGATGCTGAGATATTTGCAAAACTCCGGACCGCAGGTGTATGCGGTGGGGAACGAGCGCGCTATTGCCCTTTCCGGGGAGTAGCACGTTCACCACCACACCATGCGGGTCCTTCGTTTCACCTGTCTCTTAGCTAGTTCTATCGACCACTTGCTATCAGCAATCATCCGTCAGCGGGATTGATCTGGGGGGCCCAAATCGGCAACGAACCCAGTTAAACTGAAGCCCGAAGTTATAATCACAAACTGCAGGCCTCAGCTTAACTGGGTTCGTTGCTGATTTGGGCCTCCCAGATCAATCCCGCTGACGGATGATTGCTGATAGCAAGTGGTCGATAGAACTAGCTAAGAGACAGGTGAAACGAAGGACCCGCATGGTGTGGTGGTGAACGTGCTACTCCCCGGAAAGGGCAATAGCGCGCTCGTTCCCCACCGCATACACCTGCGGTCCGGAGTTTTGCAAAGATCTCAGCATCATTGAAGTTATAGCGTATTTAATTACACAAATTTAGAGTTAACACGGTCTAAACATAAGAAGTTTCGCATGGGAATATACTAATTTAAATGCTCTGTGTCACTTGGTCAACGAAAATAGATGTGAAAGGTGTTGTTAGTCCTGACGAAAGCTGTTCCAAAAAAATTTAGATGCTGTTAATAAATAACATCCCTTTACATTTAAATGTGCGAATAAGTCAACCCACAAACAAACAGTTTTGAAATCATAGTACGACACACACTATTATGACAGTGTTAAAGATTACATCTCTGCGCGCAAAGGATATTAAGGCAAATACAGTTGCAGAAATACTCATAGTGGCACATAAAAAAAAACGATACAGAAGGTAGCTTTGAAAAGATCTGCATCATTAAGAGAACCGCTGTCGGCTCGTTGCGAGATTATGTGCCGCGTCGCACGCAGCGGATAAACGCGGACCAAAGGAGACATACTAATCCTGAGAAGTAGGTGGATTAAAAGAATGGACTACCTCTTTCTATCGTTCTAAGGTGATCTACTCTACTAACGCAGGTTTATTCATTCGTGCGTATGATGGTATACCTGGTGTTGAATGCATCAAGCATGTGAATTTGGTTGAGCAGTAATGAATTGGTTTGGAAATAAATATTGGAGATGGTTAGGAGACGTTTCCAAAAAGCAACCCTTTCGTCCACCGTGGAGATATCTTTAAGCTATTCGCAAAAATGCCAAATCCCTATCTCATAGTTCGGTGAGTGTCCGCTAGTAATTGTTGCTACAAATTTAAATATAATGAGGCAGCGTTGGATAGAATAAGTATAAGGAGGCTTATAGAAAATAGTCTTTTGCAGATTGTCTAAGCCTGATACGATAACGTTAGAGTCTGCAGTTAAGGAGCTGGTGATGTAGGATAAGAAGGTTAAGCACAACCTCATCGCCTAAGCGGACAATACAAAGCACCGCCCACTACATTCCATCTATGAATTTTTAAAGGAATTGTTTCTAGGAGCATGCGAAAACAGAAGAGTGACAGAAGTTGCACCCATAAGCGCTTTCCTGCACATCTGTTCCTTTTAACAATTAAGTATCGGAATCGAACGTTTATGGTAGAAAAAATACGGATCACCATTGGGCTTAACAATCTTTGCCACTTACGCCCTAAGATAAAGCTATGATGAAGACGAGATCCCGGTGCTCTTATACATGGACTTAGAGGATATCTACAAGGCAAACTTACAAAGTCTTCACTAGCGACTTAAAGCCAAGATTCGACCCAGGGGAACGTCTGGAATACTTCAAATCGGAACACACATTTGGAGTAAAACAAAAAGAGCGGGGGAGTGCCTAGTTTACAATTGTACAACACGGATTTCTATCGATTCTATAGTCCCACCTCTAGTAGTGAGCATCAGAATCTTCCATTCGAGTGCACTTAGCGAAATGTACCAAAAAGTATATCGAAAACCGATGTCACTCTTCTTCACCCTTCTTCAAGTTTTAAAAGTGGTTGGAATTCCACCTCAGCACAAATTTTTTAGTCCTCCGGAAAGCAAAACGATAAAAATTAAATAACTAAAATTTTAAAATTGTCATAACTTAGATCCTTTAACTTCTAAAAGGCACTGGAAAAGGATTTAGTTTGACACAACAAATAAACGCTCAACAACGCTCATTAATTTGTCAGAAGAGTACAATGCGCCTTTTTATCTGTCGTGAGAGCACATCAGACCGTTTTACCTCAAAGGCAAGAGTACAGAAGACCGCCTTAGCGCACTGTCATTAGTAGTGAAATAGCCACTACTTGAGAGCAAAGGGCTCAAAGAAGCTGTGGTGGGGTAGGTGTCTCAACAAGGTGAACAAAAATCGTTTACGGTCATGTTCAGAAAGTCATGTGAAAATCGTTTGCCTTACAATGCTCTCCTTATAGCATCAAGCATAATGCACGTGGAATTAACGCTGCCCGATTTCGAACGCTTGTGAAAAGATTGCTCTTCGGTTGAATTTTAAAAAAAGATGCTTACGGCAGCGAATATCTTCGAGAGGTACAGCTACGTTTATCTGAGCCGTGAAGTCAATACGACGAACGACTTTTTCCAGATTTCAAAAAAAGGATAAAGCCGATTTGAAAACCTTACAAAACGTTCGAAGATACAATGAAGATTATTGCTGACTTGATGAACTCGTAAGAAGCCAGGGCACAGCATAATCGAGTATGAAGAAACATTTAATCTTGTCGAAAGCGCTATCGAAGGGCAACGCTATTAAAATCCCATATCACACAAGTGACATAGATTACGCGATGTTTCGACACTCGTTGAAAACCAAAGACTAGGCCCGGTGTCACACACCAAAATGTCGAGAGACAGATAAACTGGCATGTGATATGTTCTGATGGCAACACATAGACACGATTTAGACGTCTCCCGTTAGGCAGTGAGTCTCGCGAGATATCAAGTGCATATCGAGAAAACCACTAATTCGATTGTCAGACGTGCTCAGGTATATTCCAGAAGTAAAATATATACCTTGAGTTCCTAGAGCGACGAACACCTAATGGGCCGCTTTTACACTTGACAACAACGAACCATTAAGTACTACAGATGATAGACCTTAGGAAAGAATCCTGAAAGGTTTTTATCACTATCTTACTAAAAAATTTATGTGAATTTCAGTTTTGCCGGAGCGAAAGGATATTTTTAGCTATCAACCAATGCGCCTGTTGAACGCGTTCTAGTAATTTCTTCTGAAACTTTTTCGTCTTTTCTCAAAATTTTAGACGTTTCCCAGCACATTTGATGTGAATAACTATAATAAGTCAACCAACGGTAAAAATATGACACGCAAGTTATTCTTAAACCATTATTTTAGCAAGACATTCTACCGCTTCGAAAAATGCTAGTGAAACAAAGTGGGCTTAAGCAGTTTAAATGACGCAGAAGAAAATTAGGCAAGCAAATAGGACAAAGCGACCGAAAGTTTACAAAAAAAAAATCCTTTGCCTTTATGGTAGCGGTGGGGAGCGGAAGAGTATTATGATTACTTTTTGGGCTTGTCAAGGAAATCACTAAGCAAATGACAAGCAATTCTACGTTCTCGCCTGATTGACCAAACTGCAACACATTAGGCGTTAACTAACGACAAGAGCTACTGCACCTACGACACGGAGTCAGCATGACTTCGTAAAACAGCCTTAGTCAGCAGGAAGTCGAAGATTTTAGTTAGAAATTTCGGTAGCTTGCACTACCGATTACTTAGTAATATAACAAATAAGATATGTGAATCAAGTCGGTGAAAAGAATAGCAGAAACACTGGAGTGTTGTTGGCACACGTCACTATGAGTTTAAGCTCAAGACCACACCGATGAGTAGTGATCACAAGAGAACGAATCGAATGAAGATTATGCTAGGACTAGTACGATTCGCGAAGATGGGCTCTAGGCGTCCATGTAGTCCAGCCAATTTTTCAGGAAAGAATCCATAAAACCATTATAAAATTTGAAAATTTTTCAAATGGAAACCAACATACGTTGAGAACTCTGGAGCTTCTGCGCAGAACTTTGTACGGAAATGTTCACGATATCTGTCTTGTTTGCTTTCAAAGAATGATGTGCGCTCTGCGAATAACTGCGAAAGTTAGCGGAACAGTGGGTAGAACGAATGCCCACGACAGAATGATCAGAAAGATGCTGGAAATGATAATAAATAACTGAACATAATGGAACACACTTTGCACAACAATATTGGAAAACTACTCCTTGTACCAGTAGTTACATCAAATAGGGTGTTTGTCTAAGAATATGAAGCATAATTTAGAGAACCTAGAAAAAAAATCCAGAAGCAAAAATTTTCTTAGACAGCAAGAGATCTGGTATGATTAAATCGGGTAATCTAAGCCAACTGTGTTTTGTTAACTTTCTAGAAATACACGTTTTTGCGTTAATTACCTCACGAGATTGTGAATGCCTGCTGGTGGTCATTTCAGGCATCTGAGCAACCCTAATCTGCTCCGAACGCTGTTCATCTCGCAATCGTTGGAACTTGTTCAACAACCGCAGCATTTCGGTGACGCCGCTTTCATCTAAAATTAAGCCGAGCGTTCTTGTCTGCGAAGTTAGTGCGAAACAGAAAATCTTGCTGATAAGCTTTCGTTCAAAAGTTACCGTTACTCTTTGGAATAACCTGAGGCCGAGTGACCCGTGGCACAGTTGGTTTCCGAATTTCCCACAGGCACGCTTTGGGAAGACAATCATTACCTCCATAGATAACGCCGTAATCCTATGAGGTGAATATTTCAGAACGAAAAGTAATTAAAATGTTTTGAAATCACCATAGAAGAGAGATATATTAAAGGAAAAAGGACTATGTAATAACTGACGTATTCCATCTTAACGCTAAATTTTTTTTACATTTGTGCACACTACGAGTCTCTAGACTTTGACATGTCGTTTTTTTCAAACAATTTTTATTTACCCGAGACGGTTTCGGTTCTTCAGGTGGAGGACTAACACCACTGTTAGTCTGAAAATCGTCAGCATGTACAAAAGCGCCAGGACTTGAAGTGAGAGTCGGTGACACTCTGAATATATAAATATATATATATATATATATATGCTCTAAATAGTGATATATGAAATTTTTTACGTTCTGGTAACCTTATAATTTTAAAGCAGATATACATATTTTAGTTCATAAGGCGAAACAGTACATTATCTGCAATCAATCACCTTCGCCTAGCAGAGTCTGGATCAGGAGGTGACTGCATATCGACAGTGTGAATTTCAGGATTTGAATCCTTATAAAAGTCATCCTTAATAACTTGAGCATTACTTGAGAGTATAGGCATCCCACCAACACGGCGTGCGTAAACCACTGAAAACAAAATTTTTCGGATTTTAACTTATTATTTACTGTCTACCTTTCTAATGGCAGGGTATATTGCAAAATATAACTTCTATGATGCTGAAGTGTTTGCAGAACTCCGGATCGCAGGTGTCTGCCGAGGGGAACGAACGCGCCATTGTCCTTTCCGGGGAGCAATGCGTTCACCATCACACAATGCGGGTCTTTCGTTTCGCTTGTTCCTCAGCTAGTTCTATCGATCTCTGCCATCAGCAATGACCTGTCAGCGGGATTGATCTGGAGAGCCCAAATCGGCGCAGGACCCAGTTAAGCTGTGGCTGTAGTTATAATCACAATTTTAACTTATTATTTACTGCCTACTCTTTTTAATGGCAAGGTAAATTGCGGGTGGTGATTGCTGATGGAAGAAATAGAGAAAACTAGCTGAGAGACAGATGAAACGAAGAGCCCGCACGGAGTGATGGTGAACACGTTAGTGCCCGGAAAGAACAATAGCGCGTTCGTTCCCCACCGCAGATACCTGCGATCCGGAGTTTTGCAAATACCACAGCATCATTGAAGTTTTTTCAAACGGCTTGCACTGCACAACAGTTTAACCTACTCTGAAAAACATTTGTACTGATTAAGCACAGCTTTTATTAGTTCTACGTGAGTAAGAGGCCTGTGTGAAAATTAGCAGATAATAAACTGAGGAAAAATGTTTTAAAAGCGTTCTTCACCCTTTTTGAAAACCTCCCAACTTCATCATTTGAAACCTAATTTATCGCTCACTTCCTCTGGTGAGGAAGTGAACACCATTTGCCCTCTCTCCACTGCCAACTAGCTTTGCTATAGCATAGATTTACTCTTAGCAAGACTTCCGAAATAAAATCCCGAACTTGTTGGCCCGAGTGACACTGCTGTGGACAGTTCTACACACAGAATCATGCCTTCCAAAATTCGATGATAAAAGCGACTGGAAACTTTTTTGAAATATTAAACGAATTTATTTGAGTAGATTGGAAACTGGGGAATTTCGTCCGCATGGAAATAGCTCGAAGAGAAGCAGCAACTTGTCGATTGTAACTTCCTATATAGTTAAATGTCAAGTTCAAAATATTTTGTGTGGTCGAAACTGAATAACTAATAATAATAATAATAATAATAATAATAATAATAATAATAATAGTGTCTATGGTGGGGAACGAACGCGCTATTATCCTTTCCGGGGAGTAACGCGTTCACCACCACACCATGCGGGTCCTTT